CCTTCATTCTGCATGCCGGTAAGGAACAAAGCACGGCCAATATTAGCCCGAGTGTTAGGCTACAGCGCAGGGATCATTCCTGCTAATAGGGATCTGCGAGTTTAGTGCAAAAACGCATGATCGCACGGAGAACCTGGTGCGTTCCAGCCTGGGTTGAAATTTGCATATCTGCAAAAACGCATAAAAAGCTAAAGTAAACAAGTCGCAAATAGCAAGAAGCTATAAAATAATTACAGTGGTAATGACAATAACAATAATAAATCATTATTGCTATTATTACAACAAATCAAGAAGTTACATAACAATAAGTTGTAATAATTTTTGCACAATTCATCGATTAAATTCTTACACTATTCGGTGTCTTTTCTGTGTTTACTGAATTAACTACTGATTAAATTACCGTAGACAACGTCTCTTGTATTGTTTGAGCCGTTTCTGCTTTCCATCAATAAACTGGTCAAGTTGTCGCGGCTATTCGCGCTGTTCTCACTAAGTAAACCATTGATCAAGTTGTTGTAGTTTTGAGTACCGTTACCATTACTTAACCCATTGATTAGGTAGGTAGTATAAGGTGCGCCGTATTTACTTATTAGCAAGTTGATCAAGCTGTTATCAGTACCACTGCCATCAATCAGCTCATCAACAAAGCTGTTATAGTAGTTCGTGCCGTTGTTGTTGTTGTTCTTGCCGTTGTTGCTGTTTTTGTTATTGTGGCCTCTCCCAAGCCATATGTCAATGTTGTGAGCATTCTCGCCTAGCAATAAATTCGTGCTTGGATTACCAGCCTTGAACACCAGTCTTTTATGATCGTCAACGTCCAGCAATATTTCACTGTGAGGATCACTTATTTCCAGCTGTAATTCGACATGAGAGTGACTGGTCTCAAGCAAAACAACCACACTGGGATCGTCACTGCTAAGCAGCAAGTCGATTTCTGAGCTGCTGTTGCTGAGCATTTCGTTGATGTAGTTATTGTAAAATTCAATCCCGGTCTTGTTATCAAGCGATAAAAAAATTCCTGAGCTGCTGTGATCGGCAAGTAGTTCGTTAATTAAATCATTGTAGTATTTTTTGCTGCTAGTTGTTATTGTTGAAGGTCTTGCTGTTGTTGTTATTGTTGCTGCTGATGATGTTGTTGTTGCTGATGCTGCTGTTGCTGAACTTGAATGTGTTGGTGTAACAAAAACGGCAAGGAGCATGTAGTATATCACGCACAATATCATACCGCAAATTACGGATTAGCGTTCTGGCTCAGTTGTATCCTGAAATGAAAATAGTTTAGTATAAGCTGCAAAAAGCATCACCACGTCGGCAATTCGGTGCATATGTCTGTTGATTGAGCAATAAGGGCAGAAGCGGTAGAGTGCCGAAATTTTCAGTGTTCTTTGAGAGGTTGCGATTTCTTTGCACAGCTGCTCCGCGTTATCCCGCCGAAAATTAGAATTCCACTTTTTGTAAAGCTTCAAAAATAATGAAAATTTCAAGTTTGCTGAAAACCATTTTTATATATATTTGGTTTCCAGTAAAATAAAGTGTAACTGTAAAACGCAAAACACAAAGTTCACCTGGATTCACTAATAGTCTTTAAGGTGCCGGATCTTAAAAACGCAAATTTTCAAGTTAGATTTTCTCCAGAAAGTGCAGTCTACGTATGAAACAATCATTACCAAGGAAAGTTGATCCAGAACTAGGGACTGAAACATAGGCAGGTGATTTATTACTGCCTAATGTTCAAGCGCATGTGGTAATCGTATGCCCTCAAAACATATCCTTACTGTCTGTCTCCAAAATTCCATCATCCTCCCTGAGCTACTGCCTATACACAAAATTTCAGGATCCTAAACTATTTCACGGTTTCAATTTTGTCACAAATCGTAGGTTTCCAAAACTACATTACAAAAGTCAAAAATCCCCTCCGTGTTCACTGTCAGTAAAAGACGAGGCACTTGAGAATTAGCCCGAATGATGACAAATGCCACCAGCAGTTAACGGCTGACGAGGTTGTTGATGACTCCCTCTTTCGAGAACTGCGTGCAAGCAAACTGATGGTGGGTTTCATTACCTTCTTTTTATCATTATTCCAATTCTCCTTCTTTCACATTTCGTCAGAGTCCCCTTTAATAGTGGCCTTTATTTGTTCACTACTGTTGGTACTGTTGGCACCTCTCCAACTTTTTTAATCCCCATTTCGAATGTACCTGATGGCTGACACTACAAAGCGGACCACTTCCCTGATATACATTCAAATGGATAGAAAACGGATAACTCACATGGATTCACATGGATAAAAAATGTGCATCTTGCATTTGCAGGTTTTATAAAATTTTGTGCATATTTTGAGTGATAGATCTCACTAGCGTAGCAAAAAAATGTGGAAGGAATGTTCCGTTAAAAAAATCGCAGAGTGCGTTCACTTTTCTCCGTTTTTTATTCGTAAATTTTTCAAAGAAATGCTAAAAAATCATATATTTTCCTCATCTTTCTAAAAATTTGATATGATCCAACATACACACACTAAGGATGTCGAAGTTCCCAGGACATTCGGTGTGGGGATCATTTCTTGTTGATATTACAACTGTGATGCGTTATGCCAAGCTCTTCGGCCTTGAGCAAATTTACTTCTGATAATTCAGGAATTAAACGTCTAGTCAACACACTATTCTCATTAAAAAATGCTGGTTCATGACCAACAGAAAATGACTGTCCGTACCGTGGGTTAGCTTTATCTTCTTTCTCTCCTCTCACTCCCGCTATTTCCTCTATGCCTTCTCTTTCTTTGGCATATCCGTGTTGCAAATTTAGTCACATCGCTATACAATGCATAGCGGGTAGGAGGCTGTACTGATGATTCCCGTTCCTCAATACAGCCTTCTACCCGTCACGCATTGACTAGTCATGTAAAGTTCGGTCTATATTTATGGCTCAGGGATGGGACATAAACTGCATCCTAACATGTCTTCTAAACACATGACACTTAGCTCAATATTCTTCTATTCTAGTAAGGAGAAATCATGATCTTTTCTCGTGCATGTTTTGTCTTTGACAGTTTCTTGAAGCTTCAGTTCCATCCACTCATTGCTTTAAAAACCCAGGCTGAAACGCACCAGGCGAGCCGGTGCGATCATGCGTTTTTGCACAATACTTGAATTAGGTCAACTGCTGTTCCTTCACACCTGCCTTATGTGCCTAATGTCGAAAATCATCGTAAATTTCGCACAAAAAGAAATGAAATATTTCCGTCTGGCGGTACTTTTTGAAAATAACTCAGCTGTTCAATGAGTAATTTTCCCGCCAGAAATTTGATTGCCCGTACACGAGAATCACGCGTAAATGAAGGCTGAATTTGAAGATTTAAGTGTTATTTGAACGGGGAATATTCTCCAAAGTCTGAGCCTCCCAACTTTTCTGGCTCTCGAGTTAGCAATTTTCGCGCCAAAACTTTCACAGGGCCGCACGTGACCTAGGAGCATACATGAGGGCTAGGTTTGGAATTTTTAAGTTGTATGCAGGCTGAGAATATCTCTTTAAAATTTTAGCCTCCCGGCTTTCCTGGTTCCTGAGTTAGCCATTTCCCCGCCAAAAAATTTC